GTCGGACCGTAAAATTTTATTTTTAGTCAGTTTCAATAAATGTAAAATAAATTATCTGTATCTTTAAAATTTACACTAAATCTATTAATAAAGTTTATTGGAGCAAGACTCCGTTGGATATAAAAAAAAAAAAAAATAAAATAATTATAACTATTAATTATTTCACAATTCTAAGGCAATAAATTTTTTCTACATTCTAATCATTAGATCAAGTAATCGATTATATTTGTAATTTGAATGGTTTTTTTATTTGTTTGTTTATTTTTTTTTTGCTTAATTATATAAATTATTATAAATATTTATGTAATTTTATTTTGATTTCCTGTACTAAATCAATTCGTTTTCATCAATTAGATTATCAAATTTTTTTACGTCACACAAAAAATAACTAGAGTTGTAATTTGTAAAATTAAAGCATATACGTTATTCTAACTATATAACTATTTGTTTATACTATTCTTATATTTTTCTGTGAAGGATATACATCTTATTTGTTGAAGAATTGATCACAAGACTTCAAATTCTTCTTACCAAGTTTCAAATTAATTGAAGCACTTCAAGGTTTTATAAATTTTGCAAAACACCAGAGTTTAATTTTTGAATCAATTGCTTTGCTATTCTTCCAGATGTAGCCTTGTATTTATTATTCAGGGGATAACTTTAAAATGAGATTTAAATTTTGCATCATATGATTGCTCAAAATAAAACTCCTTGATAATTGGATCGATAAGGATTTCGATATTTTCGATTTATTATGAAAACATAATGATAAAGATGTATCCATTATCGTATTAATAAAACTGAAGGTTAGGAAATTCCAATTAGATAAATATTCAGTAGACGATTGTAAAATTTTTCAAATAAGCGAGAGATAGAATTTTTTTTAATTTGTTACCATACTTTATAAATCACTTTATGTCTAAAGGAATATTTATATATGTCTTATCTTTTGAAAATGTAAAATTAGAATTAGGAAGTATGATATGATAAATCAATTTATTTTATAATTCGAAATTATTTATTATAAAAAATTTTTTTTAGACATTTATACATTGAACTTTTGCATTAATATGTCATATATGAAAGATAATTTAATAATTATTTTTTAAAATCCCGAAGAATGATTTAATCATTAATCATTAATATTATAAATATAAATATAAGTTTGCAACTCATTTTTTCTCTTATCTCTCCCTTTCTATATTCCTCTTATCGTTTCATTGCAATAATTATTCTTCTTTAGAAAAGCAACCATAATGACAATAAAATGAATTTCGCATTGTCATATTCTGACTCTACTGTCTTTTTTCTTTTCGTTCACTTTCTCGACTCAATTCACCCATTCTTAATTTACTTAACTAAATTAATTTTCTTTAATTTAATTAATTTACCTGTTCATAATTCTACTTATCCATCTTCTACTCTCTCCTAATAATATAATAAATTTAATAGTTAACATCTCTTTCAATAGGAATTGATAAATTAAATAGAATGGATAATCATCAATTAACTGCTATTGACAACGACTACATCAACTATAATAATAGTAATGGCAATACCAATATTTTTTCTTTAACAACATTTGTAATTTTATACCATTCGAACTACTTAAACTTCTTCTCAATCACCAAAAGCTTTGGTTAATTTATCACCTATTGAACCTTTATCATCTGCCAACAATAAGAAATAGAATCGTAATAACAATAGTAAAATATAATACTATTACTTCTTCTAATAATCGAAATTAAAAATTTGTTACTATCTTAGAACTAGCGAAAGTAATAGTAATGTACAACTTAATGTTTTAAGAGATATACATGCATACTAATTCCATATTTTGCAGTCATAATTGGCACAAAGTAATATTATTAACAAATAAAATTATGTCAAAATGCGAATATATATTTATTTAAGCTAAATAATAAAATAATTAATAAAAGATAATATATATAGAATATAAAAAAAAATAAAAAATATAAAGAATATAAAGAAAATTTAAAAAATTACAATGAAATTGATTCCTTTTTCTTCCCTCCATAAATTTAATTGCTCTTGAGCGTAGGCTCTAGCTTCTAAATTATTATCAATATTTAAATTTTGATTTCCTGTAAATTCTTTAGCCGCATCGCATAATAAGAACACTTCATAAATTTTCTCATTACAAAAGTCAATATCCTCGGTCATTAAATCGATGCGACTAATTATTATTATAATAAAAATATTATAATTAACAGATGCAATTAAGAATTAAATAATATTAAACTTAAGAAAATATGATAATATAATAAAATTTGCACAAACCTATTATATTCCATGTTAATTTCGGCACCCCTAGATGGATTTTCTTTCAATGTCTTGAGAAAATCTGCATGAATTTCTTTTAGATGCTGAACACATCGTTCATGCTCAAGATCATAATACATCTTGATAGTTGTGGCGTGAACATATTTTAACATTCCAATTAATTTTGGAGGTTGAGCTTTTAGGCATTTATATACATCTTTAAAGTAGTTTTCTGGATTTAAAAATGCTGTGTATCGATACCCAGTTTTATATGCCATCTGTTGATTGTAAAAAGATTCTGCATAGCACATAAAAGCCTCCAAGCTATCGGAAATTTTCTCCATTCTTTTACCCTTATTTTGAGGAATCTGTTCACATCGATGTTTATAATTTGTTGCCTGTCTCCTTTTTAATCTGTATAATATATTGTATGATTGTGAAATGAAATAATCATCACCAGTTTGGGTGCCGCTAGATGTCATTTCAGGTGAATCTGTAGGTGTTCCCACGGATTTCATCTTATTCTAATAGTGATATCAATAAAATAATTATCATTAAATTTTTAGTTTGCTTATTAAATTTATTTAATTTTCAAAATTATCAATTATTTACTTCATTTAGGGTCTTTTTTCTTGATGCGTTAACTATTTCAGAAGACCTTTTAATAATAATTCTCTTGCGTGGACGTGGAGTGTCTGGATTTTCATTGGACGATCTTGATCTTTTCATTTTGAGTATTTTGAATTTACTTTAAATTATTAAATACAAATATTTATTATTAAATATTTAATATTTATAAGAAGAAAAAGAGGAGTAAATATGAGAGAAAAGAATATCGAAAAATTTATCAAACCTAAAGCAGTTTTAAGTGATATTGGAGGAGCAGTTGTAAGTGATATTGACTAAACTTGATAAAAATGAAAATTGACCATCTTTTATATCTTTTCAAGTCATATAAATAAATTATTTTACTTTATTACATAACCTTATTCAAAAATAATAATTATTTTTTTTTTCGCCATCACATGTGATCTGCTGTTAATTACTCTCAAAGTCATAAATTATTGATAGACATAGACAACTGCGCTATCACAATAACTATTTCAAATTTTTTGGTGGATGATTTCCTTTTTAAGTTTAATGCTTTTTTTTATCAATCTTCTAAAGAAAAATTTTTAATGTTAAGCATTTGAACCAATAGGATTTCAGATAAAATGCATACATTGTTCGCTATTTTAGGTATAAGCCATTTTTTGATCTTTTGTATATCGTGAATTGCTCAATATAAAAAGTACATATTATGATAATCATAATAATAGTCATAAGTAAGTATCATATACCATATCATGATATAATGTAATAAAAATAATTATAACCATGATAATAAAATCGTAAAAGATGATTGTAATAGTGATTGATTTCTAATAAGGGCAATCAAGATCATTCCAGTACCCAATTAGTAGTATCCATGACAAAATTATAATTACAATTGATTTTTTTTATGACAATAAAGATATTCCCCTTTATTTTGACTTTTAAATTATATAATATACATGTAAAATTTAATAAATATATTTTATTGTTGGAAATAATTTTATCCGAACTTATCATAAGATTTAAAATTTATCTTAACCATAATTATTGTATTAAATGAACATAATCAGTACACAAATTATATTTTTAGTTTTTTTTTTTTTCACTAGGTTACTAAATTGCATGTTAATTTACGAACATAGGAAATAACTAAATAATTTTTTATTATTAACGATAAAATATTGTTTTTTATTAAATATAAACAAAGAATATAATAAAGAAAAAAATAATTGCTAACATGAAATTAAATAATAATAATGAGTGACTCATGCTACTTATACTTACATTTATGTACCAATCATTATACTGTGTATATCTTAAAAGTCTAATCTAGTGGTATGTTATTATGTGTAAAAAGAATCATAATCATAAGTCGATTAATATTGATGATCTTTTTTTTTAAAATTACAGATGACGAAGTGTACGTCACAAGGAATTGTACTACATAATAAGTTGTGATAGAGAAAATTACGTAATAGAATTATAATTTTCGTGTTACAATCAATCAAAATTTTTTTTTTTTGAAAAACTCTTCCCATTTTTCTCAAATTTGACGAAACAGGATATTTTTTACTTTAAGATAACACTCAGTTCCTTCACGACTTATTTTATTCCTTAAATCGCGTTATATAAGTTTTTTTTTCACACTACTTGAAACTAATATTTATGACATTTTTTTTGTAACTGCTGAAAAAAATTACACCAACGCGTATGTTTTCAGAAAATTTATGGAAGATATTGTCGTATTAATGTGAGTTTGATATAAATCGTGCTGTTTTAGCACTTCTAGATTGCACTTTAAAAATTTTGTGCTGAGGTATTTATATCATTATTTATCAAAAAGTAATAAAAACGATCAAACCAAATAAACATCTAATACTTTTTTGATCATTTTAGACATATTAAATGCAAAAATATTAAATGACCCTTATTCATTTCGATAAAATATGTACAAAGGTACATGAAAGAAGGGAACACAGATAACTTAACAAGCGAATGTCAACTTTTCGTGATCGCTCTAATGGTAACACAAAAATGATATATCGAACGATTTACTTGGTCAGATATTACTCTTATTCTATTTTATCGAAATCAATAAGTTTGAAATCACATTTATAGAATCTTCTAATTACAAGATTCATATTAGTGGAGACAAATATTCTTTTTGGTTAAAAAGTTTGACAGAATACGTTCATACTAGCAAACTTGTATCATTATTTGTTGAACGATTTAGAAAAAATGCTACTCCATCTCCTCCAAAACCACCAGGTTTTTCGTATCGAAAAATCTAAAATTATCTTACTCCAGTATGATATGAACGAAAGATCACATCAAGTGATTATACTGAATATGGATTGTGGGATGGACTTAAACTCGATCTTTTTTAATATGAAAATAGTTTTATAATAATTTTGAACCGATTAATTCGATTTATTTTGTATAAATATATATTTTTTTCAAGAACATTTTATTTTCCTTATCAGATTTCTTGAATGTTATTTTTTATTTTCTTTAATATTCCTTTTGTTTTCTTTATTTTTGGAAATAAATTATCTTTGATATATTTTATTGAATAAATTTATTATTTATTGTCAAGATTTATATATCTTGCTACGTTTTATTCTTTTAAAAGAAGATGATATATTTATATATGTCGATTATATGTATATATTCTGAAGAAAAATCTTTTTTTTCTTGTACTATTGAAGAAGTTCTTTGAGTTCATTCGTAGTTTTTAATATTGACTAAAATAGTGATGTGGATGTATAAATTGTTGTTGTTAACGAGCATTATCATGCTGTTAGCAAAACATGTAATTTTTAAATTTAATGTGATTATTGATTTTAACAAATTTTGAAAATTGAAAATAATTATTAAATGTTTTCATCCATATCATCATTACCTTCTTGCTTTATTCTATACGTTAATTTATATCTTATGAATTATCCAGTTAAATTTATTTGATATATATTACCTTGGAAGATTTCTACCTATAATTATCGACCATTTCTTCTTTTTTAGGTCCGGAAAACGGAATGTGAGCCTTACCCATTTGTTTTCATATAATCATCTAACTGAGATTTTATAACATTATGACAGTGTCAAATTTTCCACTTATAATACAATTTCTTTCCTACCTTCAAATAACCGAATGAAGTTCTTTAAAAGAAATAATAATAAATATATATAATTATTTTCGCGGTTGTAATGTGGATGGAAACCAGTTTTCATCAAATTATTTTAATACTTTTTTTCCTTGTATAAGATATTATTAAAGTCACTACAGTAATCTTCAAGCTTGATTAATTGATTATGTATTTCTAAGCTAAACGTGGCTCGAATGAGCAAATTTATTTCATTTATTTACATTGTTGTTAGTGCAAAATGTAATAAGTTAAATTAATAAATCTAATTCAACATCAAAGCTATTAAAATTCGAAATATTTATTTACAAACGAATTTCATAATAAAAATGAGCAAAGAATTAAATATTTTTTACTCTGATAAAACTTTCATTAAATTAATGTAAGGGAAATGAATTAAATTAAATAAAATTAATTTATTATGTATTTTTTTAAATTCACGAAAATCAGACTTGTTTAAAATTTCAGATGTCACCTCATGAGTATTTAAAAATTTATTTCAGTGTATTAGTCAATCCCAAACTTCACTTAAGGGAGTATAAATTTTTTTTAAAAAAAAAGAAATAAATTATTAAATCATCAATGTGTCAGCATAATATTACCAGTAAATTATTTTGAAATCACCATTACGCACCTCTTAAGATTAATAATATTATTAAATTATTACTAGAATGTGGTTATTCAAATACCCCACAAAATTTATGATATATCTGATTATTATCTTTTGACAAGATGCAATTATGGTATCATAATATAGTTATTAAATTTTAAACATGCTAAGAAAGAAATTTGATTTTTAAATTTAATTAAAAATAGTCAATTAAAAATAAAAAAAAAATGTCATTTTACCATAATTATTTTAAAAATTATTGAGTATTTGCTTATAGCAACATAACAGTTAAGTAATTATTTATATTTAGAAGGCAACTGTGCTACAGTGTTGGCAAATTACCAGGTCATATAAGAAGTCATAAGTTAGTGATCAATGTGAAATCATACTTCATGTGACATTTGATCTACTAATATTCATTGCTTTCAAGGAATGACATCTATTTTTATAATAAAGTATTTATTTTTTGATTGGATAATCCATGTGAATTGGTTATAAATTTTTGACTTGACAAAGTGAAGTATTTTATTTCATAGCTTGTTTCTTCATTGTTACAATTTTATTTCAACATAATTTAATAGAATAAAAAGAATTCACGGCCAGAAACATTTTATTAGCTTGAATTTTATATAAATTTAATAATAATTAACTTAATTACATTAGAAAAGAAAAAAAATCAAAAAAAAAAATTAACAAGAAATAAAAAATAATTCAAATTATCCAATGATTAGAATGTAGAAAAAAATTATTGCATATTGATAGTTATTAAATAATTTTTTTGTCACAAATACGTGATGAATTGTACGATTACATTTAATATAACAATAATATTTATTGTTTGAAATTAAATTACTTAAAATTCAAAATCTCGATCATATTCATATCTAAATTTAATTAATTTTGTTATGTAATTTAATTTAATGAATTTCACTAATTTTTAAACAATTAATATTCATTATTTTAAATGAAGTTGACTAAATCTCAATATTCCTTGATAATATTCTTCTCTAATTGTTAAGTATAAAATCAATTTATAAATAAATTAATATATATTCTTGTTATTATATTAAATATTTATTAAATAGTAACTTTAGTGAATATATTTGTATTTGGCATTTTGTCTTTCCTTTTATATATTTTTTTATCATCTTTATATCTTTTTTTCGTATCTCCTTTATATATTATTAATTTTACAGTTATATACTCGATAAAATTTTGGCTTATAAAGTGAATTAAAAATCATATCATAAAATTTAATCTTATGATTCAATTTTTATTGTTTTAGAAAGGGAAGTATGCATCCCTCTTCAATAGTTTTGATTCATTATTTTTATATTCTCTGCATTTTCCAATTTGGGAAATAATGAAATAAAAAATTTATTTTTTTTCGCATTAGAATTTTGTGATATGGAAAATATAATTTTATAAAAATAATAAAAGACTTTGCAAATTACGTTTCCGAATTGAGAAAACAGCGATTTTTTACGATGTAAAAAAATTCCATCAATATTTTTTAAAATTATAACAATAATTTCTTTTTTAATGAATGAAATTACAAAAATTTTGTTTACTATAATTGTGATATTTATTGCAAATTTGATTTATTAAAAAAAAAAAATTATCTATTATTTTCAAATAAGTAATAAGTGGGATTAAAAAAAAAATAAAGAATTTATCATGGAGTCCATCCCTAAGAAAAAAATCTGATAAGAATACAATAAAATATAAAAGAATCCACTTATTTATCTGAAATTCGCACCAAGATATAAGCAAAATAATATTAATTAATTAACAACAAGTTTGATAATTTTGTGAACTTAAGCGATGTTTTAAACCAGGTAATATTTTAATTATTATTTAAATTTAATTTTCAAATTATTATACAAACTTTTAACAATAAATCAAGATGTTTATATTATTAGATGATAATTCATTTAAAAACAAATGGACTTGGTTCAATTAGATTTTATGGAATTACACAAGGTCCAGAAACACGCAAATATATGATAGCTTTAGATTATCAGAAAAAGGAAATCCTCGAGAACATTTAAAAATTAATTTTAATAATATTAATTGGAGACAAAAAGTAGCAAATATATTTGAATTATCTGTTAGGCTGAAGGATATTTATGAATTTTATATAGTTCCCTAAGACTTCCATCCTGGAATGTTTTATCATCCATTTTTTACCGTCATATACAGATTTCAGATTTTTGATTAAGTATACTAATAGGGCAAGATTAAATAGTCCCAAAAAAAAATATTTGGCATATTACAATATATTACTCCAGAGGTATTAAGTGGTGAAGAATATACAAAAGCAGCTGAGGAATATTCATATGTAATTATTGCTTACGAAATAATTAATGGCTTTCCTCCTCATCCTGATAAAACACATAATAAGATTTAGCTATGAAAATATGCAATGGATTACGATCAAAATAACGATTTAGAAATGCGAATTCAAACTAAACACACCACAAACAACTCATACCAGTCGACCGTTTTATTATTCAAATCTTCAAAAACCCAAGAATGATGAAAATTTCAAAACGAGAACTTGAAGAATTAACGAAATCTATGCGCTGGTTAGTATTCTTTATTTACTTATATATTATATTATTTTTAAATGTATTATCGCTCTTTGCAAAATTATGCGGTCATGTGAAAATTTGATAATATAATTGATAGGTATTCGAATACCAAATA